CAAGCGAATCCGGTCAAAGTTTCCAAAGCCCTTTACACAGAATTGAAGACTGGGCTTGACAACAAATGCTTCCAGATGACTGACTTGAGCAAAGCGTCGAACATTATGACTTCACGCTATGTATACAAATGGAAGTTTGTCAAGAACGAGAAGGGCGAAATGGAACGGACGATCAGATTACGCTTGGTACTCCGTGGCTTCATGGACATTGAAGCCTTCGATGTCGAAACCTTCTCTGGCACGGCAAGGAGGTCAAACCAGAGACTGCTCGCAAGTTCTGCTGCGTGCAACAAAGCTTGGATCATCGCTTCCCTGGACATCAACATGGCTTTCTTGAAGGGGCTGATCTATAGCGAGCTCGCCGCGGCAACGGGCGAGAAAGAGCGTGTGGTGTGCTTCACGCTACCTCCTGGGTCAGCAGCTGTCCTTCGCACATTGCCAGGCTTTGAGTCATATGACGAATCAAAGCATTGTCTTCGGTGCCTGAAGCCGGGGACTGGCACGGAGGATGCTCCCAGGGCATTCTCGTTGAAGCTCAGGTCCATCACTAGGAGCTTTTGACTACAGCCTACTTCATACGATGAAGAGTTCGAGATGAGTTCAAACCTCTTGACAGCCAAACACGTTGATGACATCAATATGACTGGGAAGGAAGATTCTATTGACAAGTACGTCAAATGTGTTGACGATACGTTTGGAAAGTGCAAACTGAACAAGCACACATACACAAACTGTGCCGTTCGGTACAACAAGACCGATGATGGGAGCGTCACTCTTGATCAGGACGAATACATCAAACAACTTCGTCCTATCACACATCCAGAACTCACAGGCGCTGATCCTGAGAGCAAAGCGACAAAGACGATTTCTGATATGTTCGTCAGTCTTCGTGGCGCTCTAGCCTATGCGTTGATCACGCAGGTATGGCTGATGGTCTATGTTGTCTCACTGCAACGTATCCAGGAACCGACAAACATCCAGGTACGACGACTGAACGCGGTTACCAGGAAATTGCAGGCAGGTCCGAAGAAGATCGTGTATCAAGCTATGACTCCAACAGGAGAGGTCGACCTGCATAGCGATTCTGGCTATCGTCGTCTCAACGGAGATGAAGACGACGAAGTCAAAGGCTACGGTATCCGCGGGGCTAACCTGCTGAGGCGTGGCCACACGCAAGCGGGGAAACCCGTCGTGCACCTGGTGGACGCATACTGCAAGTCTCACCGGCTGCAGGTGCGTTCGAGCTACTCTGCGGAAACACTGGCAGCAGCCCACAACTTGGAAGACTGCTACCCGACCATTGTAACGCTCCACGAGCTACACTCGGGACCATTGACCCCCACACAGTTGAAGAACATATTGGAACTGGGTGGTCTATGTATCAAAGTCACTCTGACTATTGATGCCGAGTCTGTCTTCAAGTCTTTGTCTAGCAAAGATCTGAAGAAGCCCACAGAATGCACTCTGCTTGGGCACATTAGCTGGATCCGCCAGATGATGGAGCGCGGAATCGTTGAAAGCGTCCAATGGTGTGACACGCGGGATATGACTGCCGATGGTCATACCAAAGGTAGTATTGACCGCGCGTTGCTCCTACAGGTAATGGCCGGTCAGCAATCCTTCAAGCACGAGCTGAAGAAACATACTCCGTATAGGGCGGGCAGGTCGTCTCAGGACGGCCCTGCCTCCCGAGCTGGCGGGGAAACCCGCATGCAGGTGCGCTCTAGTAGCGAGGAAACTCGCCGGTAGCGAGGCTACTCGCGCGCCCTTGCCTTGTAGGCAGCCGCTGTTGCCTAGCACTGTTTCCGCGTAGTGAAGAAATGCGGTGCTTGCTCGTCTCCTCCCCCTCCAACTTTAAACGGAGAGGGTTAAAGGCGAGATGTATATCGAGCATGCACCGCTGCCGTGCCTGGCTCAAGCCGGGCCCGGCCGAACATGTGATTGTGCCTCATTGAGGCGCACTACTTGCATCTGAGATCGGAAAAGACCTTTCTATTGACGATGCCCCTTCTATCCTTTACTCCAGATCCCATGCTTCATCTTGCTCTCTTGCTCATGCGATCTGAGACAAAGCCTGGGATATGGGAGCGTCTAAGGCGGAACATATATCTTGGCTTACCAGTGCGTTTTCGACTAAGTGCCCTCTTGAACCGACGACGACGACGAAACGACGAAGACGAGGACGACGACGATGACGACGACGGCGCGCCCCAAGAGGCGACGACGACATTTCGACGACGACGACGTTACTCCCCAACGGGCTCCCCACGACGCCCCCCGAACCCATGCTCCCAGAAGGCCTTCTGGGAACCCGATTCATCCGGCCCTCCGCCCCCCTACGCAACCATTTTCCCCGAAAGCTTTTCGGAATGCGGATTGGCCAGCGTGGACTGTGGTCCGCTACTTCAGTGGAGCAGTGAATTCGTCAAGGCCTGGGGCCTGCTAGAGTCCGAGCGCGCGCGAAGCGCGCGCGATGGTTCGAATCTGTATATATATATATGCATGTATGTATGCATACCTGTATATAGGTATGTATGCATTTTGATGTATGTAGTATGTATGCATGTATGCATCCATGTACGTATGCGTGTATATATGCATGGCTACAACAACGTATGTATGTGTGCATGTCTGTATAGAATGCATGTATGGATGCATTCATGCATACCAGTTCGTATGTATGTATACAGTCACGTACGTATGCGTGCATACATGCATGCATGTCTGTCTGTCTGTCTGTGTGTCTGTCTGCATGCATGCATGCATGCATGTATGTATGTATGCATGCATGTATGCATGTATGTATGTATGTATGTATGTATGTATGTATATGTGTATGTACAAATGTACATTTGTTTGTATATATGCATGTATGTATGTATGTATGTACGTACGCATGCATGTATGCACGCATATGTATGTATGTATGTATGTATGTATGTATGTATGTACGCATGCATGCATGTATGTGTGTATGTATGCATGTATGTATGCATGTGTGTATGTATGTATGTATGTATGTATGTATGTATGTATGTATGTATGTATGTATGTATGTATGTATGTATGTATGTATGTAGTGTATGTAGTGTATGTGTGTATGTATGTATGTATGTATGTATGTATGTATGCATGCATGCATGCATGCATGCATGCATGCATGTATGTATGTATGTATGTATGTATGTATGCATATTTTTGTACATGCACGTAAATGTGTATATGCATGTATGTATGTATGTATGTATGTATGTACGTACGTACATATGCATGTGTGTATGCATGTATGTATGCATGCATGTATGTATGCATGTATGTATGTAGGTATGTCGGCATCTATGTATGCATGCATGCATGTACGTACGTTCGTACGTATGTATGATCGTATGACTGTTGGTATGTATGTATGTATGTATGTATGTATGTATGTATGTATGTATATATGTATGTATGTATGTATGTATGTATGTATGTATGCATGACTATGTTTGATTGTGTGTATGTATGTATGCATGCATGTGTGTCTGTCTGTCTGTCTGTCTGTCTGTCTGCCTGTCTGCCTGTATGTATGTATGTATGTATGTATGTATGTGGGTGTGTAGGTATGACTGGATGTATGTCTATGTGTGTGTGTGTGTGTGTCGGTGTGTCTTTGCGTGCATGCGCGTGTTTGTGTGGTGGTGCGCTGCCAGAGACGCCGTCGAAACGCACATGCAGGACAAGTTGTGCTCAAGAATTCGCTATCATGCTAGGGTCTGGTTTTCAGAGGCCTGGTGGAAGAACCATCAATGATGAAGGTTTCACGGGTCGGGCAGCGTGAGGTCTTCTCGTGGACCTGAATGTGGAACGTCGGAGAGGCATTCTTGAGATTCACCGAGATTGTGGCCCGCGGGATACTTTTGGACCTCCCTTGAGGCTTTTGGCGTGCTGGTTGGCAGAGTTCTCGGTACGGCTTTTCAAGGGTCTTGTGGGGTTTTCAAGCGTGGCCGCCTGCATAATGGGCCGCTGGGAGATCCTCTCTTTGGTACCATGAAACAGCATCCTCTTCTATTTCGGCTGCTGCCGCCGCACCTTCAAGGTTTGCGCGCGGCGATGATTGAGAACAAATGTTGACGGAAAGCACATTCTCAAATTGCTGGAGGGAGCACGGATGGTTGGGCTGCCTTTGCTACACGGAGGGCTGTTCTGAGAGGGGAAGGTTCCAAGGCTGGGTAGTGGTGGGGCGGCGGTGTTGCTCGCACTGCCTGCTGGGAACAAGCTCTTGGTGAGTATGGGTTGCCTACGTAGGGACAGCGTGTACGGGTGAAATGTAGTGCCGCTGCAATTGTGATCCATCGGGCTGGCCAAACTTAGTGTTCAGGGTGCGGCAGGGACACCCCTCGATGGCCGCTCTGCAAGCAAGGGGCGGCGCAGTAGATAGAGCAGCAATTATCTCTTGCTCATCCTCATTGTCTCCCCTCCATCTTCTCCTCCTTTCCATCCCCCGCCTCTCCCTCCCTTTGTCACTCCTCATCCCTATCCCGTTCTCGTCCTCATTCTCTTTGCCTCTCCTCCATCTTCTCCTGCTCCCCCTCCTCCGCCCCTCCCTCCCTTTGTCACTCCTGATCCTTATCCTCCCCCCTTCTGCTCAACCTCTTCGTTTCTCCTCCACCTTCTCCCCCTCCCCCTCCTCCACCCCTATCCCCTTTTGTTACTCCTGATCCTTCTCCTCCCAGCTCATCCTCTCCCTCTTACTCTCCTTCGTCGTCGTTATCGTCGGCGTCCTCGTCAATCTCATCGTTCCTACCCCTTGAGAGTTTGCGTCCTCTTGCTGCAGCGCCTGCCTACCACTCCTCTTGGTCCATGGGCCCTCGCCCTGTGTCTCTCCTTGGCACCGTCGCCTTCGCCCGCCCCGTTTTCTGGCATGCATGTCTCCTCTCCCTGCCCCTTGCTGTGACCTTTAGTCTTCTTCTGGACTGACATGTTCTGGGCGCTCTCTTTCCTCCCCTTGGCCACGTCAGGACAATCCCAGCATCCTCACGGATATCCTGCCCGAGATGGTCCTGGCCCCGACGGGGGGGTGGGGGTGGGCGGAAGGGGGCGCTAATTGTAGATGGGGTGGCGTGAACGGAGAGTGGCGCGCTTGGAGGGCGTTCGCTTCTTGCTCAGGCCTGCGACTCGGTACGGCTGGCATCTCCCCACCCTCTCATGTGTAGGCAGCAAATTTGTATGTATGTATGTATGTATGTATGTATGTATGTATATATATATATACACATACATCTATTTGTACACATGCGTATGTACCCGTGTGTATAGGTACGTACATCTAATTTATGGTGCCAGAATCTCATTCCAGCTTTGGTAGCCTTGGCTTGCCTTCAGCCCAGTTGAGCATGAACAGCGGCTGAGCTTCATCTCAGTCTTCCTCGGGCCTGCACTCCGCCCTTGTTTGTCTTCGGTCTTTCCAGCATCGCTTATTTTCCACTGATCCCTTGGTATTGTCATATCGTAGGGTGAGCTGAACTTCAGCGCAGCTGCTTGCACGATCAAGCCTGGATGTACCCACACTGGTATCTTTGCTGTTGTTGGTGGTCTAGCTGGCTTTTACCACCTTGCGGAGGTTGACGCACATTAGGCGGGATATCGGGATCGCTGTTACTGGTCATGTCGACGTCGATGCTAGCATGTTTTTTCGTCGCGTCTATGCTCGCCGCCGCAGCTGCAGCTGGTGTTGTTGGCGTCGTCGCTGCCGAATTGGCGCAACCGTGATCGGACTTGGCACGTCGTAGATCAGCAGCGTTTGCACAGGCGAACGGGCACCTCGGAAGCATGGAATCCAACCCCTGAACGTGGGTAAGCCAGGCTTCAGGCTGGTGGTTCGCTCTTTTCTCCGAAGATCTTGAAGCCAGAACCATCGGGGCGATCATCAGGCTATGTGTATGTGTATGTGTGTGTGTGTGTGTGTGTGAGAGTGGGGGTATGGGAGTGGCGATTCGATCCCATCCATGGATCCCGGTGGCAGACCTCAGCATCCGACAGTTCTGGTTGACCGACCGAGCCAGGGTCAAGCGACGATGGAGGCTGCTACTGTCCCCTTGCCCTTTGCAACAGCACGCTGGGTGGTCTGGCAGATGCCCTCAACCTGGCGAAGTTAGGAACGAACGAGAGCCAGTCATCGACGTCACCGACGCCGTCGCAGTCGCGATTGTCGTCCCGGTCGCAGCAGCAGCTGCTACTAAGCTTTATGCAGCATCGCGACTGCCGAAGTCGATGCGATTCGTCCCTACATCTTTGCACATAGGTCCAGGGATCTTTGCAAGGAGGGCCGGCGCAGTTTTCCTGGAGGAGGGGGAGTAAGAGAAGCAGGCATGATGATGTTGATGATGCTGATGATGATGCTGATGATGATGATGATGATGATGATGATGATGATGATGATGATGATGATGATGATGATGAGGAGTAGGAGGAGGAGGAGGAGGAGGAGGAGGAGGAGGAGGAGGGGGTCTCCTCCTCCTGCCGCCACGCTTCCCCCCCCTCCCTTGTCCGTCTTCCTTCTCCTCCTCCTCTCTTCTCCTCCCTGAACCGGGGCCTCCTGAGTCTCCCGAAGCCAGTGGGCGGCGGGGGCCCCGTCCGGCAGGCCATCGTGGGGCTGGTCTTCCTGGTCCTCCTGTTCACCGGGGAGTTCGAGCTGTGCCGCTACCTGGACTCCGCGCAGAGAGGCCACCGCGCAGCTCCGGGCGCCGCAAGAGCTCGTGGCGCCTGGGTCTCTGGGCGCTCTTTGCCTCTGGGGGCCGCCTTCCCAGCCCCAGAGTGGAGGGTTTCCCCGAAGGGCTTAGGCGACCCGTCCTCCTCCTCCTCCTCCTCCTTCTCCTCCTCTTCCCGGCCCCAGAAGCGTCAGAAGACGGCAGCGCCGCAAGGCAACCCGTTGCCCAGCGGAGCAGGCCGTTCCTGGGGATCGGGGGCGAGCAGGGCGACCCTGAGGGGTACGAACCCTTCTGGAGGAATCGAGGGTACGTACCCTTCTGTCTTGCCTGCCGCGCTTCAGGTGCGCCTCGTGTCTGGACCACGGGCTGCGCTCGGAGGGGGCCGGTGTCCTCTCGGGTGTCCGCCGCAGTCGGTCCCAGGAGAGGGGGATGGGAGCGCGCACGTGGTGGCGGAGGAGAGGCAGGGGAGGGGATGGGGAACGAGGCTGGAGCACCTTGCTCTCCTTGCGAGTCGCTTGTCTCTGCCCTGATCTGGCAGGACAGCCAGTCGAACAGTTCCAGCCCATCTGGCCCCTCTTTTGCCCACCCCCTCCTCCAGCTGCCCCTTCCCCTCTCCCTGTGATGAGAAGCAGGTTCACACCACGACTCGAAAGCGATGTAGACGCGAGTTGATGTGACGATGCTCTCTTGGTGTGACTTGACTTGACGATGAGAATGCGGTGTGCACCTCCCTCCTCTTTCTCCCCTCCCCCCCCCGTTCTCCCCCCCCCCTCCTCCCCCTCTCCCTCCCCCTCTCCCTCCCCATCTCCTCCCTCCCCGCCCCATCCCCTCTCCCTCCCCCTCCCCCTCCACAATTACACAATATGAAAATACTCTCCCACTTCCCCTGATGGCGTCCCGAAGATATCCGACCCCCCCCCGCGTACTGTTTTTTTACACACAGGATTCCCGGGAAACGGGTTTTCGCTTGCGTTTTTTTTCAAAATGCTGCTCTCGCTGAGGCGCTGGCCTCATTTCTGCTCCCGAATCGTTCCGAATCGTGCTCCCGCTGCAGCGTGGGCCTCATTTTCGGATCGGTGTTTGGCCTCCGTCGTTCAGGATGGCGTTCTCGCCCCAGCGCGGGCCTTTTTCTCGCGCGCCCATCCGCCCGCCACCACCGCGCCGCCACCACCACCACACCACCACCACCACCACCACCCACCACCACCACCACCACCACAACCACCACCAGCACCACCAGCACCACCATTACCACCACCAGCACCAGCACCACCACCACCACCAGCACCACCACCACCACCACCACCACCACCAACACACAGCACCACCAGCACAACCATTACCACCACCAGCACCAGCACCACCACCACCACCACCACCACCACCCACCACCACCACACCACCACCACCACCACCACCACCACCACCCACCACACCACCACCACCACAACACGCACACACGCACGCACGCACGCACGCACGCGCACCACCACCCACTACGCACGCGCGCGCGGAGCCACAGGTCCGCTACGACACGCGTCCGCGGATAGAGAAAATCAGCGCCATGGTAAGGGATGGGAGGAGGGGTAGGACGTCAGATATGCCGCGAGCGCACCTAGCTTGCCCCTTCCCCCTCCCCTCTCCCCCCTCCCTCCCTCCTCCCCCCCCTCCCCCTCCCCCTCCCCCTCCCATCCCCCCTCCCCCTCCCCCTCCCCATCATCCCTCTCCCTCCCCCTCCCCATCTCCCCCTCCCCCCTTCCGCTCCAGCCGCCCCCTCCCTTGCCGAGCCCGCCCGTCTGCCCCTCCCGCTGCTCCGCCCCGCCCCCCCCCAGGCACGCCGCGCGCCCTGCCGGCCGCCGTGACGCTGCTGCTGCTGGTGGGCCCGGCCCGTCCCCTGCGCGGGGCCCGACGGGGTCGGGCCCTGACGGGGTCCAGTGCGTTTTGGACGCCCGAAAGGCGCACGGAAAGAATGGGCACAATGCCCAACAGCAAACGTTGTCCCAAACCAGCAGCGGCCGCTGTTGGGCAGGCGGCCTTCTGTCTCAGATGGACGCAGGCCGCGGCGGCGCGGACAGCGAGCCCTGTTCAAAATGATCAGGAACTGCTGTTGGGCATCGTACCCATTCTTTCAGTACCCATTTCGGACGTCCAGATGCGCGGCCCCTCTGTTTTTGCGGAGTCTTCACGCTCAGATCGGCGTCGCCCCAGCACACTCGTACGACGTGCGCGTGGCCCCCCCCCCGCCCCCTGCACCGTATGCGTCGTAGCGGGCGCTTTCTGGCCACGCCGCTCGGGAAACGCTCTACCGCAAAATGGGTATACCGTATATTCGCGTCGGACGCGCGCCCCCAATGAGGACATAAAGAACCAGTATTGTTGCTCCCATAAAAAGGGGAGGAGGAGGACGAGGACGAGGAGGAGGAGGAGGAGGAGGAGGAGGAGGAGGAGGACTAGTATGCCTCTGTGCGCCCCATACAAGAGAGCAAGCATCGTTGCTCCCCCGCGCCGGTGCACACTGGTGTTTTTTTTCGGCCAGAGTGCCCCCCCCCTCTCGGGGCGCTCGCACCCCGTGTTTCTCAGCAGGGGAAGCCTTCCTCTGCGGAGGCCGTGGTGCTGGCGCCCCCCGGCCAGTGCCACGTGCCACGACGACGACGACTCCCGCCTGCTGCTGCCCCGCGGAGATTGTTCCAGAGTCTACCGCGTGGGATTTGATTTCCCTCCTCCCTCCTTTTGCTCCACTTGCTCTGCTCCTCCCTCCTCCCTCCCTCCCTCCCTCCCTCCGCGCAGTTCCAAAGTCCTCCCTCCTCCCTCCACCTGCTCTGCTTGTCCCCTCTCCCCGCTCTCGAGCAGGAATTGCTCACAAGCTATGCAGGAAACGCGCTCCTGCGTGGGATCTGATTTCTGTACAACTTATAGAGACGCCAGTCCCTCGACACTCGGGAAGCACGCTCTCGCTAGGTTCTTCTCACGATTTACTTGGGCTTCGCGCCATCGCTCGAGACCTCCTCGCGATTGATGCAGGACTCACGCTTCAACAAGCCGCTTGCTCGACCTGGCCGCCTGGGCCTCCCCGCCTCGCTGCCCGCCCGCTAGGGTCTGCTCGTCCGGTCTGCCCGTCTGGTTCTACCACGTGTTTTCTTCTTCCAGCCCCCCTCCTGCTAACTTCTTTTGTGCTTCATCCTTCTCCCTCCCCCTTTCATGTGTCCTCTCTTCCCCTGCCTTAGGGGCTGCACTAAATGCACGTGGCAGGTAAAGAAGATGGGCCCTCCAAGGAGGTACGATGAAAGAAGAAGAGGGCGGGTACCTAGGCTGTAGTCTTAACAATATTGTTACCGTCGTTGTTGTTGCTGTTGTTGGCGTTGCTGTTGTTGTTGTTGTAGTTGTTGTTGTTGTTGTTGTTGTTGATGTTGTTGTTGTTGTTGTGGTTGTGGTTGTGGTTGTGGTTGTTGTTGTTGTTGTTGTTGCTGTTGCTGTTGCTGTTGCTGTTGTTGTTGTTGTTGTTGTTGTTGTTGTTGTTGTTGTTGTTGTCGTTTTCGTTGTCGTTGTCGTTGTCGTTGTCGTTGTTGTTGCTGTCGTTGTTGTTGAATTCTCATTTCTGAAGGAAAAGTATAGTTGATCCCCCCCGCTAGGTGCACATGGTGTTTTTTCCGATTGAAGTGCCCCTCCCGGGGCTCGCATCCTGTTTTTATCAGGGACAGTCTTCAGGGTCAAACTGTGTCGTTGGCCCCTGGTTTACAAAAACAACGGCTCCCGCCTGATGCTTCTTCACAATTGTATCGCGCTCTCGCCTGGGACTTCCTGGCAATTTACCACCGAATCGCGGCTCCCGCCTGATATTTCCTGACAATTTATTGCAGAACCGCGTTCTCGCTTCGGACTTCCTCGCAACTTACCGCCGAACCGCTTCGCTTGATATTTTGACAATTTATTCAGATGCCGGTCCTCGACACTCAGGAATCGCGCTCCCGCTACATATTGCCTGGCGGTTCAAGCAGGACTCACGCTTCAACGACCCGCCCGCTCGACTCGCCCGTCGGGGCCTGCCCGCCCGACCAGCCCGTTAATGACTGCAGTCGCCGCTCGCAGCCCTTCGCCCGCCTTCGATGCACCTCGCTGCCTGTACTGATTCCGCGGTCGCCTTCGCTCGCTGCCCTTCGTGGCCCCGTTGCTGCCCTCAGTGGCCCCGTCGCTGCCCTTTGTGGCCCCGCATTATATGCCCTTCGTGGCCCCCGCTCGCAAGCGCCCGTCGTGGCCTCATGCGCATGCCCTTCGTAGCCCTGCTGTCGCCCTTCGTGGCCCCTTGCTGCCCTCAGTGGCCCCGCTGTCGCCCTGTGTGGCCCCGTATAAGAATGCCCTTCGTGGCCCCCGCTCGCTCGCGCCCGTCGTGGCCCCATATGCATTCCCTTCGTGGCCCCGCTGTCGCCCTTTGTGGCCCCCTCGCTGCCCTTCGTGGCCCTGGTGCTGCCCTCAGCGGCCCCGTCGCTGCCCTCTGTGGCCTCGGATTTTATGCCCTTCGTGGCCCACGCTGGCTTTTCTCACGATTTACTTGGGAATCGTGCTATCGCTCGAGACTTCCTCGCGATTCATGCGGGACCCACGCTTCATCAACCCGCCTGCTCGACCTCGTCGCCTGGGCCCGCCCTCCTGACCTGCCTTTTATGGGTCTGCCCACCCGATCTGCCCGTCTGGTTCTACCACTTGTTTTCTGCTTCTTGCCCCCCTCCTGCTAATTTCTCTCGTCCTGTTCTAGGGGCTGCGCCAGCTACACGTGGCAGGTAAGGAAGATATACCCCCAAGGGGGCTACGATCGAAGACGAGGAGGGCGGGTACCGAGGGCATGGGATATACGTGATGAATTGCACGCGAGTAGATAAGAGCGAACAGACTTAAACTGATTGTTGTTGTTATTGTTGTTGTTGTTGTTGTTGTTGTTGTTGTTGTTGAATTCTCATTTCTTAACAATAATTACTGTTGATCCCCACCCATCCGGGACACATGGTGTTTTTCAATCACAGTGCCCTTCCCGGAGCTCGCACACGTTATGAGGAAAGTCTTGGGTCTCAGAATTAGGTTGTTGGTCCCCGATTTACCACAACAGCGACTTCCGCCTGATATTTCTTCACACTTTATTTAATCGCTTCGCTCATTCCGCCGGCCCTGGAGCGCTATTTGGGGCCTCTTGGGGCCGTCTTGGGGGCTTCTTGGGGGCTTCTTGGGAGCGTCTTGGGGCTCCTTGGCGGCGTATTGGGCTCCCCTGGGGCCTCTTGGAGGGCTCTTGGGGGCCCCTTGGGGCTGGAGGGGGTGTAGTCGATTGCGGCCCCCCCCTCGGAGGCCACGATCCTCGTGAGGGGTGGCGAAAAATAGCCCCACCCCCTGGGGATCGCCCAGGGGTCAGCCGGGGATCGGCCGGGGTACTTTTCGTCTGGGGCCCCCCAGGGGCCGCCCTGCGCGCGCGAAGTTACCGGAGACCTTAGCACGCCTCTGGCCCGTTGGGCCTGCGAATTGAAGAGTCGCGCTTTCGCGCGGGACTTCTTCACAACTTATGCAGAAATCGCGCTCTCGCCTGGGACTTTCTCGCAACTTATTCAGACGCCGCGCCCTCGACACTCACGCTCTCGCTTTTGCCGATCTCACGATTTACTTGGGAATCGCGCTATCGCTCGAGACTTCCTCGCGAGCTGTGCAGGACGCACGCTTCAGCAACCCGCCTGCTCGACGTGGCAGCCTGGGCCCGCCTTCCCGACCTGCCTGTTAGGGTCTACCCGCCCGATCTGCCCGTCTGGGTTCTGCCACGTGTTTTCTGGTTCTAGCCCCTCTCCTGCTACTCTCTCTCTCGTGCTCCATCCTCCTCTCTCCCCCTTGTTTCTGTCTTCCATCCGTCCTCTCTTCCCCTGCCGTAGGGGCTGCATGAAAAACACGTTGCAGGTAAGAACGACATACCCTAAAGGGCCCCTAGAGGCGCCCTGGCGCTCTCGCCTAGGCGCCGGCTGGACTTTCTCCGAATCGAGGCTCACGCGCAGGCGTTTTAGGGGGTGCGCCGAAACCGGCCCCCCAACAACAGCAACGCTCCCGCACGATACTTCCTCATTTTCTACTCGGGACTGGGGCTCTTGCTCGACGCCGAAAGCCGGCTTTCCATGATGATGATGGTGATGAGGATGATGGTGTTGATGATAATGCTGCTGCTGCTGATGATGAAGACGATGGTGATGATGATATGATGATGGTGATGCTGATGATGACGAGGAGGAGGATGACGATGAAGGATGACGATGATGACGGCGATGATGATGATGACGATGATGATGTTGATGATGATGCAGAGGACGACGGCGATGATGCTGATGATGCTGATGATGATAACGATGATGATGATGCTGTTGATGATGATGATGATAATATCAGTAATGCTGATACTGACGATGATGATGGTGCTCTTGATGATGATGGTGAGGACGACGACGATGATGCTGATGATGCTGATGATGATAACGATTATGCTGGTGATGATGATGTCAGTAATGATGATGCTGACGATGATTATGGTGCTCTTAATGATGATGATTATGCAGAGGACGACGGCGATGATGATCATGATGCTGCTGATGATACAGATGATGATGCTGCTGATGATGATGAGGATGATGATGATGCTGCTGCTGCTGACTGATGATGAGGATGAGGAGGAGGAGGAGGCGGAGGATGGCTTCACGACGATGACGATGATGCGCAACATCGCCCCGATGGTGATGATGATGATGATGTCGATGGTGATTATGCTGATGATAATGATATTGATGATGAGGATGATGCTAATAGTGGTGAAGATGATGATGATGATGATGATGATGATGATGATGATGATTATGATGATGATGATGATGATGGTGCTGATGCTGATGCTGATGCTGATACTGATGCGGATGCTGATTCTGCCAACGCTGATGATGCTGCTGATGATGATGATGATGATGATGAGGAGGACGACGATGACGACGATGATGATGATGGTGCCGATGATTATGATAATGGTGGTGGTGGTGTATAGTTATGATGACGACCACGAATGCTGTGATGATGGTGATGATGATGACGATGATGATGATTGTGGTGGTGGAGGAGGAGGGGGATGACGATGATGATGGTGATGATGGTCATGATGATGATGATGATGCTGATGATGATGATGATGATGATGATGATGATGGTGATGCTGATGCTGATAATGATGATGATGTTGAGGTTGGTAGTAAGGATGATGATGCTGCTGATGATTGTGACGATAATGGTGATGATGCTGATGATGATGCTGATGATGATGATGAGGATGATGAGGATGAGCATGAGGATGAGGAGGATGACGATGACGATGACGATGACGATGACGCTGATGATGCTGATGATGAGGATGATGAGGATGATGAGGATGAGGATCAGGATGAGGAGGAGGAGGAGGATGAGGATGAGGATGAGGAGGAGGATGAGGATGAGGATGAGGATGAGGATGATGATGATGATGATGATGATGATGATGATGATGATGATGATGATGATGATTATGATTATGATTATGATGATGATGATGATGATGATGATGATGATGATGATGATGATGATGATGATGATGATGATGATGATGATGAGGAGGAGGAGGAGGAGGAGGAGGAGGAGGAGGAGGAGAAGGAGGATGACTTCACGACGATGACGATGATGAGCAACATCGCCCCGACGCCCTCCAAAGCCGTCCGACATCTCCGCAGCAGTCCGTCGGACCTCCTCGTGGCCCCCTCCGTGCGCAGGTGGCTGTCCTCTCGGTGTGCCAGGGGGCGCTGTTCCTGCCCAACTCGCCCCTTTTCCTGTCTGTCGGGGGCGGCCTGCTCGTCGTGGCGGCCCCAGCCGGGGGCGCTTTCACCGCGCGACGGCGGGGCGCGGACGGGGGCCCGGTGCACGCCCAGCGGCCGTGCCTGCTCCAGCTCGGCGGCTCCCTGTCCGATGTCAGAAGAGGAGGGCCAGACCAGAACGATGGGCCCATTTTCCGCCACCACTGCCAGATGTAGGACGGGGAGAAGGGAGGATGGGGAGGTCCTCCTTCTCCTCCTCCTCCTCCTTCTCGTCCTCCTCCTCCTCCTCCTCCTCCTCCTCCTTCTCCTCCTCCTCCCTCTCCTACCTACGGTGGTGTCGGTGGAGACTCGGCCCATTAGAGGCCGCGGCAGTTGGCCTTCGGGGGGGCCCCGTTGTCGCCACGGCTGGGCGCAGCTCGGGAAACTGGTGCGTTTGGACCCTGGGAGGGGTCCAGAGACCGATTTTGAGCTGCTGTTGGTTCAACCCGCCCTGCTCCGACGATTGCTTGTGCGAATCGGCTTCCAGTTGTGTTAATTAGGCCGCGAGAGGGCTTCCATGGAACGCGCCCCTCCACGACGCTCTTCTGTGGGTGAGCTGTCCTGAGGCCATCTGGGGCGTCTTGGCACGAGCTTGCGGCGAGTCGGGGCCCTGCTGGAACGTCCTGGGGGCCCCGTGGGTCCCTCCCGGCCCGTCTCTCCGGGCCCCCCCGCGGGCCCGAAGACGTCCTGCAGGACTTCGCGCGGGGAGCCCCGGTGGATCTGAGCATTTGAGCCCGGGCCTCTTCAAAAGGTTCCCGTGGGGGGAGGGCTGATGCTCCAGGGATGGCGGGCCCGAAGACGTCCTGCAGAACTTCGCGTGGGAAACCCGGTGGATCTGAGCCTTTGAGAGCCCGGGCCTCTTCAATCGGAGGGCACCAACTATACACCAACACCGATCCTAGCCCAGGATCACCCTGGGCCCAGGATCGGTGTGTATGCCTTCTTGCGCAAGGCAGGAGGGCGTATACGCCGATCCTGGGCCCAGGGTGATCCTGGGCTAGGATCGGTGTTGGTGTATAGTTGGTGCCTTCCTATTCAAGGTTCTCGTGGAGGGAGGGCGGATGCTCCAGGGATTGGGCAAAAGGACCCGAGGGCGCGCCGACCCATTGCCCGGCGGCACGCCGGCAGACGACTTTCGAGCACTCGCAAGAACGCGAGCGTTTTTTTTTTTGTGTGTTGTTATTATTATTATTATTATTATTATTATTATTATTATTATTATTATTATTAGCATCATTATTATTATTGTTATTATTGTTATTATTGTTATTATTTTTATTATTATTATTATTATTATTATTATTATAAATCATATTATGCGTATGCATATTTTCGGGACATTCGATTTTGGAATCCTTTCGGAACCTGCAGTTTTCGAAGGATTTTGGGATGCGCGCGCGCGACGGCGCGCGCGCGTGCACTTCGTCTCTTTTTGGGCAAGGCTTTCTTGGAACAAGTTCTTTGAAGATGGAGGAGTGTGTGCGCAAGGTATTGATGCTGAAAGATGAAGAAGTGTACGCGCATGGCATTTTGAGTCAGGGATGAGGAGGGGTGTCGATACAGGCCTGGCTGGGATAGTGTGAGTTCATATAAAGAATGAACTCCGACTCCAGTTCCCAATTTTCCGACTCCAGCTCCCATCCCATTTCTGCGATTTTGGTTCCGACGCTGGCTTCCATCCTTTCGTCTTCGGTTCCGACTCCGGTTCCCATTTTGCCAATTCCAGCTCCCATCCCATCTCTCCGACTTTAGCTCCGTCGCTGGCTCCCATTGTTCCGACTCTGGCTCCGACTTCGGCTCCGACTCCTGCTCCCGACTTTCCGACTCCAGCTCCTATCCCAACTCTCCGACCCCGGGTTCCGACTCTGGCTCCCATCTCTCTGACTCTGGCTCCGACTTTGGCTCCCAATTTTCCGACTCCAGCTCCCGTCCCATCCCTCCGACTCAGGCTCCGACGCCGTCTCCCATCTTTCCGACTCCAGCTCCGACCCCGGCTCCCATCTTCCCCATTCTGGCTCCGACTCTGGTTCCCAATTTTCCGACTCCAGCTCCCATCCCAGCTCTCCGATTCCGGCTCCGACTCCAGTTCCTATCTGTCCGACGCCCTCTTCGACTCTGGTCTCATCCACCCGGCTGTGGCGGTACAGTCGGGGCCCTGAAGAAGGAACCCTTTTGGTTGGGGAGGGGCTCCGCGTTCCTTAAGTGTTTCACAGCTTGCCTCAGGTTTTCCTTATGTTTTCGACAGGATATCGAAGTTTAACTTATGGAAAAAAGGGGCCTCGTTCCTTATTTAGGGTTCCTTAGGTCAACGCCCCGACGGTACGTGTCGTTCTCCCTCCCGACGTCGTGTTTGCTACACCTCGTTTGCGACGGCGAGCCATGAGTGCACCCAGTGAGCGGCAGGCCGTGCCCAACTCCGGCTCCCGCCTCTCCGGCTGCGGCTCCGGCACCCGCCCCCATCTCTCCGACTCCGGCTGCCATTCCTCGACCCCGGCTCCCGACCCGGCTGCCATTCCTCGACCCCGGCTCCCAGTGCCCGGCTCCAGCTTCTGAGCGGCCCGCCCATGCGGGCGCCGCCCGCGGCACCGTCGTGGGTGCCTTGACGCGGGCTCCTGTCTCGTCTGCTCTTGCCGCGCCCTCGACACTCGGGAATCACGCTCTCGCTTCGGATTTCCGCGCGGTTTGTTTTCGAATCGCGCTGTCGCTCGAGACT